GGCCACATCTGATTGGACGATAAAAAAACAAGACGTTACTGGAGGGCCTTATCTGATTGGACGATAAAAAAACAAGACGTTACTGGAGGGCCACATCTGATTGGACGATAAAAACAAGGCATTATTGGCAGATTGTGTTAACCACAGACATATTATACCATACCATTTTATTTATAGAGCACTTAAAACAGTGACAGGGCCAACCAAAGTGCTGTACAGACAGAACAACAGACAACACACAAAGCAATATGCAAAGTATATTATTATACTTATTTATTATACTTATTATACTATTATATTGAAGTAAATCAGAATATAGACATAAAAACGATGCAGATAATAAATATGATGACAAACCAGTGTGGAGCGTACAGGTTCAAAACACAGATCATCTGGTGTTGAAAGTTACTGAACAGTAGTGGGTTTTTAAACGGGATTTGAAAACCAAGAGGGAGGGGGCCTGTCTGACAAGCAGAGGTAACTCGTTCCAAAGTCATGGTCCTGCTACATAGAAGGCCCTGTCACCTCTGCACTTAAGACGAGTTCCTGGAACTGTGAGGAGCAACTGGTCCGCTGACCTCAGGGAATGTGGTGGGACATACGGTTGTAGCAGATCAGAGAGATGGGGGGGGGGGGGGGACACTGTTCAGTGATTTGTGATCATGTAAACATGATTGTTAAGTTTCAGGGAAGGGTCCATTATCACGCCCAGATTAGTGACTCTTTGTTTTTCTGACAGGGTTAGAGCGGAAAGGTTGATGCAGTGGTTTGTGATTGCGTCATTGGAATGGAACAACATGACTTCAGACTTCTTTTCATTGAAACTTAAGAAATTTAAAGCCATCCAGTCCCTGATGTCAGCCAGGCAGTCGAGCAGAGGTTGAATAGAGTATGTACAATTGTGTCTTAGGGGGAAGTAAATTTTAGATAGTGTTTATACTCACAAACATTGTAGTGAAATGCTGCAGTCAAGAGAGGTAGGCGAAAACGCTCTTTCCCTGACAACCAGCAGAAATACCTTGACCAAGCTAACTTGTTGCATCCCATAGGAGGGCGGCGTACCGCAACTCCTGCCAACAGGCAACCGGACATCCAACGACGGTGAAAAGGTCCAAGGCCAGTAGTAAAATGGATCGCATGCGACCAAAAAAAAGAGCAGAGCCGTGGATGGCGTCAGGCTATATGCCCTCTGGTTAATCTGCCGACGTGTCACAGCTGTGACTTTTTTGATATTACTACTCGGAACGGCGCATACGCACAGGGAATGTTCAGTGCTTTCAGCACTGCCCTCTGGAGGTCAGTAGGGATGAAATAAAACCCTGCTTATGTCAACATAGTTAATCACCAAATAATAAAAACAGGTAAATAATAGTGTGAATGCTTTGTGATGTAAATATGTTTTTAGTTTACATTTTTAAGCCATAATCTCCATTAGCTTGAGAAGGAAACGATCTATTGATTTTCAAGTTGTTTAAATCACCTTCTTCAAAACTTAACAAATCTTTATTTACTCAGTTTGTATTTAGGTTTTGTTTTATTGATTAATTTTGTGTTTAATCAGATAAACTGTACAGACTCAGTGAAATTTTTAAACGTCTGAAGTTTTACATATAAATGGAGATAAAAGAAGCAAATTAGAGCTCTGGGGGAGTTTATACAAGTCTGATTATTTTTAGTTGAACACAAATGATTCAGAGTATGTCTGGTGTTGGTTGTGAGTCCTTGTTTTCTGTTCGTCTCCAGGACACCAGTGGCAGTAGAAGTAAGGACGGTCCTGCAGGTCCATCTCCAGTGCTGTTCACTGCTGCTCCAGTTTCTGCACACAGTGAGCGTCACTCCTACTCTAATTAATTGCATTATTTCTGCAGCTCTGGATTTTGTGCTCAAGTACCCCACTTGTCTTACAGTACATTCTCATCCGCGCACTACTCCAACATCTGCCTTACTTCCTGTAATGACCTCTGTGGGCCCCCAGTCTGGGCTGCCAGGCAGCAGCCATGCCTTTCAGGTGATGTCTCTTTACATTTCACACTTTTCAACCACATAATTTTAGTAAGTACATCATAAAATAAAACCAAATCTGTTACTGTGGCTTGAAACCAGTTCATTGTGTTGTTTCATAGCCTTATTACTACACACAGACCCCTGCAGCTCCTCCAGTGCAGTCTGTTGGCCAGGTCTACCCTGCACAGGCGGTCCCGTACATGGGTACGATTTTTACTTCAGCTACAAGGAATTCGTTTTCACGTCTTGGCTTTTGTTAGGTTAAAGTACTGAAAGAGTTTCATTCAGCCTTGATGAATGATTTTTTTTCCAGGGTCTGGAGACGTGACTTCTTTCTTGATGACTGAAGCTCGGCAACACAATACTGAGATTCGATTAGCTGTGGGAAAAGTAGCAGATAAATTGGACCAACTTGCCTTAAAGGTATAAACCTTTTGACTAAAATGTGTTAACGGACTGCCTTTCAACCAAACTAATAAAACTTCTTCTGTTTTTTCATCCTGACAGATCGATGATCATCAAAGACAAGGATGTCATCCCATGAGTGTATCCACCATGACCATGGAAACTTCCATGATCATGCACAACATTCAGAGGATTGTCCAGGTACACACAGAGTTCAAATAACCTTTTGTAAGATTTAAAATGTGTTCTTTATGGTTGGGTGGGCAAAGATTTCAATCATTGGTCATTGGAGTCTACCAGCTGTTTATTTTTTTTAATTAAGGGCAATTTTTACACTTTATTTTAGCTAGTTTAACTTTTCCATTTAAGAGTTTTGACCAGTGAACAAATATATAATTCATATCTTACCCTGAGCATGATTGGATGCAATCAGTCTCTACATCTGAACGTCATGAGCTCCGCAGTATGGCCGCGCTGATGGGAGCTCACTTTGACTCTTTTTTTGTTGTTCTTGTAGACGGAAGGCTGGCCTGAACACCCTTTAACAAGTGTGTAGGCTAACCGTTCAAAGTTATGGAATAAATGTTGACCGGCCTCAACCCCACAACATATAAGTGAGTTCTTGTAACAAATTTAATTCCCCTCTCTCAAAGAAAAGACAAAGAATCCGGTCATTTAAATACACATTTCTGTAACGTTTATTTTCAGTTTGAATAATGACAATATGTACTTATAGCAAATATGAAATATGGATGAATAACCAATAATATTTATTTCAGAAAGTGAATGACGTACATAATAGAGACTTTGAGAAGGGATATAGATTCAATTTGGACTAGGGTTCTAGCTCTAACGTTAAAATTTAGGTAAGCTTTATCTCAGATTTGTGAACTAAATTATGTCTAAAGTCAGTTGGCACTTAGTTGTTTCTCATTAGAAGGAAGACGTTCTGTCCTTCCAGGGAGGCGTCCATCTCTCTCATTACCACGACAAATGTGATGAAGGCTGGAGGTTCACGTTGTCCCCGTAAAAGGGTCATTCTCCTTCAGGGACTACGTCCCCTCCAGCAGCGTGCACCACTCTTGAAGGTGTTTGAGTGTTCTAGGCCTTCCTCCTTCGCTCAGCTGGGCTGGCTCAGAGACAACTCTACACCAGGACATCTTCTTCCGTCATGAGACTGCTTCTTTCCTGAGAGTTATTCTCTCAGCCACTGCTCGACTTCTCAGGTGTCCGTTTACTTGGCACCTCAGAAGTCGTGCCCCTAATCTTTAACCAATGAAAATGCAGTTCCCAACCCATGGGCGTGAACAAATCTGAATAAATCAATTTAATTACAACCTCCCCTCCAAGTCTCAGAGGGGAACACAATGGCTTTTGTTAAAGAAGGTGACACCTTGTTTTTACGTAAACACCATTTCTTTCAGCAAATACAAGTTTGATTGTAACACACTTGTTACAAACAAAGACATTTGTTGAAGCTCTGTCCATCGGGTGTGTGTGTGTGACTTCCTTTGTTACCATGGCAATGACAGTCCCTGCGAGTAGTGTAAGGTTCACCTCTTTGTTAGAGATTTCTTTCAGAGACACCAAGTCTGCCATTCAGAAAAGAGGGTTAATTAGCACAGTGTTAATTATAATACAGTCAGTATGGAACTAGGGGTGGTCCAGGATGTACACTCATTCTGAATTGGCAGATTAAAACACACAGAAAGGGGTAAAAAGAAACTGTTCCTGTGTCAGAATAGGATGCCAGTATTTGTCTCAGATTAGCAGAAAGGTAGGGGGGCATGAAAGACGCAGTGTCTCTGTCTTTTGGACTTTTTGTCTCTGAGGACGGTTTGTCTTTTGTTGGACCTTGGAGGGACTTGGTTGGACGCTGCACTCTTGTTTTAGCCTTTTCTTTGTGCCTACACCGCATACCCAAGCTACGAGTGTGACCACAACACACTTGTGGAGTTTTGTGTGTCACTACCTTCCCATTTAGCCATCTTGCCATCACGGTTCAGTTCCCGACCCCCCTCCAGGCTCAAGCTCATGCTTCGGCATGTCATGGCGACCGTCTCCATGATCCTCCATCTTCCTGCATGTACCGAACTCTACAGACCTGTTCAGCTCCGTGGGGAAAATCTTGGATGTTCTCTGTCTGCTGGACCCGGTTTTGGAGGGTAGTCTGGGAGGGCAGCTGCTGCAGTCATTATTATCATCAAGCTGCTAGCGGGGCCTGCTAATGCTGCTAACGCTGCTAACAAGATCCTCAATCTGCCTGCATGGACCAAACTCTATGGACCCATTCGGTTCCATGGGGAAACCTTGGATGCTCTCTGTCTGCTGGACCTGGTTCTAGACTGCGGTCTGTGAGGGCAGTTGCTGCGGTCATTATTACCACCAAGCTGCTGACTGGACCGGCTAAGAAGACCTGCTAACACTGCTAACAAGATTGCACACAGTACAGACCCGTTCGGTTCCGAGGGGAAACCTGTGATGTTCTCTGTCTGCTGGACCCAGTTCTGGACTGCGGTCTGTGAGGGCAGCTACTGCAGTCCTATCACCATCAAACTGCTGACTTGACCTGCTAACAAGATCTGCTAATGCTGCTAACAGAACAGAACCATGCTGCTGAAAGGACCTCACTGCTAACTGAACCACACTGTAGATGTTTTTCTTTTTCAGAGTCAGAGTCAGAGTTTCTTTATTGTCATTCGCACCTCATGTGGTACATGTGGTGGAGCGAAATTATGTACGCAGGGTCCCAGTTACATCCAACAATAAAATGTATAAGAAAAACAGTAATAACATCTAAGATATGAACTAAGAAAAACATCAACTAAATATACACTAAGCACTCATAACATAAAACATTGAACATCAGCACAAACATGAACAACTTTTTCAACTTTGGCGCCTTGTTTTTAATATTTTAGAATTATTTTTATTATGTTTTTAGTATTAAGTACTATTTTTAGTATGTTTTTAGTATTTTATTAGTATTGTTTAGTATTTTTTTTTGTATTTTTGCTGCATGCTTGGGTATTTCTTGTTGTTTTGTTTTGGCGAATTGAGACGGTTTTTCTTGTCCTAAGCATTTCATTGCATTGTTGACCTCCCAAACACCTGGACTTCTACTGTGCAACACTACTGACATTTCATACTCTCAATCACCTTAACTACCTCATTAATATCCATAATGTGCAATACAATTGTGTAATACTTGTATTTTTTACTTTCATTATTATATCTATATTGCGTTACATTTTTTATATTTTTAGTGTGTGTTTAATGTGTGTTTTCTTAAGGCGTGTTTTTGCACTGGAAAAAGGAGTGGCTCTTAATTTCATTGTACTGCGTATAATGACAATAAAGGCATTCTGATTCTGATTCTGATTTTGCATATGACAAACCGAACCTAACCTAACATATCCAGTGTTTCCCCTAGATAACTTGCCATGGCAGGGCGCTCATCTCGTCCGTGATTTTTGTCGAGGGGAGGGAGGGGAAGACGGACGGAGACACGTCCCAAGCTGTGCAGTGCACTGTTTAAACCAACAGTTTTAGAGGGGGGTGGGGGACACAGAGACAGCCGCGCGCTGATTGCACCGACAGTTTTAGAGCAGGGTGTGTGTGAGGAGAGAGACAGAGGCACATCTCAGCCGCATGCTGTCTGAACCGACAGGTTGTTTGGGGGGTGTTGGGAGGGAGAGACGGAACACACATCTGAGCCGTGCGCTGTTTGTACCGACAGTTTTCGAGTGGTGGGGGTGCGTTCAGCGTGAGGGTTCAACATGAGGGAAGAGGCTGTCTTTAGCTTTTTAGCTAGCACACCTGCATTGTGAGCCGCTATTAGCGTTACGTCAGTGCCAACAGGTGGTTTGGGGTGAGGGTGGGGTTCGGTAGACAGGGTGCTCGGTTCTCTTGATGGGGCGGGGTGCCCTGCTTGTATAATGGTAGGGGGAACACTGCTATCTATTTTCAGCAGCAAAGTTTCAAACTCCAGTTTTGAATTAATAAAGCTCCCCATACGGGCAGTGAAATGTCTTCAGCTACAGAATAAAAGTTAACTTGCCTTGATTTTAAAATGATCATTATTATGCTTTATTGGAAAAGTCTCAAACATTCTGTCAGATGTAGGCTAAACTTGTTTCTGAACACCTGTGGAGCACGTGAGGGACATGCTGTGGTGTCATTTTTTAAATCTGTGTAATAGGTGTGTTTGAATTTCAGAAATGTTCAAGACAAAAACAGCTGGACTTTATTTGTAACAAAAGACATTTCGCTTTTCATCCGAGACGCTTTCTCAATTCAAAGAGCGGAGTGTGTGGGGTTCAGGTTATAAAGCTGAGATAAGATACACATACATATGCAGATTGACCTAATCACACCTTACACCTCACAGTAGGGGTTTGTTAATGTCTTTGTTAATCTAATTCACAGATGAGGCCCCTCTGGTCCCATCTGATAGGTGTTAAACTGGCTGGGTATCAGTCCTAAAGTTGCATTATATGTTTTTGAAAGTTGAAATGTGAGGCCTCCTCCTCAGTTTAGAGATGGTTTCTCTCTTTTTACATAGATGCTTCCTTCACGCCCCTCTCAAACCAACTGTCTTCTTGGTCCAAAATGTGCACATTTTAGTCCTCAAATGAGTGTCCCTTATCTGTGAGGTGGAGGTGAACAGCTGAGTCATGTCCTGTCTTTATGGAGACGTGTTCAGCCCGATGTTGTAAAGTTCTGATGACAGAGAGTTTGTGTTCCAGTGGGTGGTGAGAGTCAAACAGAAGATACTGGTCTGTGTGGGTTGGTTTTCTGTAAACTTCAATGTTGAGGCTGTCCTCTCTCTCCATCTGAACCAAACAGTCCAAAAAAGGCAGCTTGTTGTCGTTTGCATCCTCTCTGGTGAACTTGATGTTGCTATCGACCGACTTGATGTGTCTGGTGAACGCTTCTATTTCCTTGGCTTGGATTTTGACCCAGGTATCATCTACATATCAGAACCAATGGCTTGGCATTGTTCCCTCAAAGGAGTTTAAGGCTCTCTGTTCCACTTCCTCCATGCAGAGATTGGCAACAATGGGTGACACTGGAGATCCCATGGCACAGCCGTGCTTCTGTCTGTAAAAACTGTCATTGAACTTGAAATAAGTGGTGGAGATGCAGAGATCCAACAGGGTGCAGATCTGGTCTGGGGTGAAGTTGGTCCTGTTGTTTAAGTCCTTGTCTTGTAGAAGTTG